TGAAAATATATAGCTTTTTATTATATAAATACTTGTTTTTTAATAATTTACTTCCTATTTATTTCTAATAGATTAAAGGGTGGAGATGAAAAAATCCGGTCAACTTTTAATTGAGATTTCTCTTAAACCATAAATGCTTTTTATATCATATTTTTTTAATTAAATGTGTTTGACGGGTTGTTTGGCAAGAGATCAAATTTTATAGCGAGCTGATGCCATGATTTTGAAGATTTTTTTATTTTTTCATCTTATTGGTGGCATTAATCCATTTTTTTGGAAGTCCTTTTTATTTATTTTTTTCTACCTGCCTTACGAAGAACTCTTTTAACTATTGCCCAAAAATCTTCAATCTTGCGCTCGGATGATTCGCATTGCATCTTTAGGAACAATTTTCACATTACTATCTTTGCACCGCTGTAGAACTTTTTTAGATTAGTGAGTAACAGCAAGATATGACCAAAAGAGAGGTTAGTGTTTTTTTCATAAATGGCAAAAGTCTTTTTTATTGTATTTTTTAAAGTAGGGATTGGCAGTCAAGGTCTTCTTAGTGATAAAACAAGAGGACTGCATACCACAGCTACAAATTGCGTGCCACACAAAAAACTTGGTGCAAATTTTTCTTTATTATGTACTACTTTTATCCGTCATTATTTTAACCAACTTTTTTGCGTGTTGAATTCCTTTAATTTCAACATTACGCTTCTTTTAGGTGTATTTTTATTATGAAATGCTTTAATTTCAGCATTTTTAAGTATTTTTTTAAATATAACAACGCAAAGTCTTGAATTTTATTGATATACTTTGTGTGACTGGTTCAGATTTCTTGCTGAGAATCGACTTTACCTTTTTGAATATATGGAAAATTTTCTTCATTCCATTTCCAGGTTTTCTGCTTTGAAATTAGTTATAATATTTATGACTGTAGATTTGGGAACATTTGTACGTTTTACAATCAAGTGATATGAAGTCGATGGATTTTTGCAAAAAAAGTTCAAAACTTTTTTTTTTTTTTTTTTTTTTTTTTTTTCAGCTTACAAAGTTAGTCGTTTTACAATACAATAAACTATTAAAATTACTTTACAAATATATATATACAAATCGTGATAACAGTGTAAACTAGGTTTCCGAAAGAAGATCACTAAGATCTTATCATCGGAACTTTAAAAAACATTTATAAACAATATAATTTACGAATACCTTGTAAAGTATACGTTACAGTAAAGTAAAATATATATATAGAACTTTTACATTAGCAAATCTTTAAATATAAATAGTTGTTAACAACAAAACTTTAGGGAAAAAATATTAAAAATTTAAATAATAGATAAATTAATTAATAGTACTCTAAAATGTTATCGAGGGAAAAAATTAGATTTTTAATTTTGTTTTTAAAAAGACAAAAAGAATTTGGTCGATCAAAATCAACATTAGGTAAAACAAGTTTATTCCATAGGTGCGGTGCACGATAGGCAAGACAAAATTGATTAATATTTGTTTGACAAAAAGGTTCGTTAAAGAAATTTTTTCTTTTAAGAGTGTATTTGTTGCTGGGTTTTAAACTAAAAAAATATTTAAAGACTGGGGGGGATAGATTGTTTTTCCACATATAAACAAAGCATAAAATTTTTAAAACGTTGAGTTGAAATACATTTAAAATTTTCATCTCAATAAAATAAGGTTTACAATGAGAAAAACGATCAGCAAAGTTAATTATGCGAATTGCTCGTTTCTGACAGCGATAAAGACGAAGTAGTTTACTTTTTTCAGTACTTCCCCAGGCAATATTAGCGTAGTTTATGTAGCAGTGAATAAATGAGAAATAAAATTGCCTTAAGTGTTTCTTATTGAGATAAGTTCGAGCTTTGTACAAAACTCCAATGTTTTTAGAGACTTTAGTGCATATATAGTTAATATGTTGATTCCAATTAAAGTTCTCATCGAGATAAACAACTAAAAATTTAATAACGGAGTCTCTTTTTATTTCAATTTCATCAATAAGGATTGGAGGCAAGTTTAGGGGTAAATTTTTTTTTTTCCTATTCGAATGAAAAAGAGTCCATTTAGTTTTTTCAGTATTTAAAGTTAATTTGTTGGACTTGAACCAGTGGGATAAAACTTTAAGTTCTTTATTCACTGTGACAAAAAGTTCGCCAATATCGCTCTTAGAGATGAATAAATTAGTATCATCAGCAAACATGATGCTCATCAGATTAGTTGCTTTATTTAAATCGTTTATATAAATTAAAAAAAGGAGAGGTCCGAGGATTGAACCTTGTGGAACTCCACAGGTTATACTTAAACAATTGTTGTGATAGTTGTCATTACCAACAACAAATTGTTTTCTATTTGTTAAGTAACTTCTGAACCACCTTAACGCTTGGTTATTTACTCCATAGTATTTCAGTTTTTTGAGTAGGATGTGATGGTCAACCGTATCAAAGGCCTTCGATAGGTTGATAAAAATACCTAATGTATATTTTGATTGTTCAAACGATTTTGAAATTTCATTTACAAGTTGGATAATTGCATGCTCTGTTGAGCTATCCTTTTTAAAACCAAATTGATTAACATAGAGTAGGTTATTTTTGTCAAAGTGTTTATATATTCTGTTGTACATAATTCTTTCTAAGATTTTTGAAAATACAGAGAGCACAGAGATGGGGCGATAATTAGTTATTTGGGATTGGTCACCATCTTTATAAATAGGTGTAACTTTGGCAATTTTTAATTGTTCTGGAAAGATTCCTTGTTTAATTGAGGCATTAAAAACTTTGAAAAGAACATCTTTTAGTTGCTTAAAGCAATCTATTATCACATTTCCATCTATTTCGTCTGGTCCACATGATTTATTCTTTTTAATAGATTTGAGCGCCTTTTCAAGTTTTTCAATTGATAAATCAGAGGATAGCTCATCAGAGCGTATGCACTTCTCCAAGGATAATAAAAAGTCATCAAAAAAGTCAAAACTTTTTTGCGCACCACAATTTGATTTCAAAACATTTTGCAAATCATTGATTTGTAAACAAAAGTTTATCAACACAATTAACGATAAAGTAACGTTTAATTAAAAAAAAATTAAAGAAACAAAAAGTTTAAAAAAAAAACATTATTTGGCATAGAAAAAGAAATTACTTGGCATAGAAAAAACATTAGTGATTTTAGAAAAATCTCAATTTAAAGTTGACCGAATTTTTCCGTGTCCATCCAATATGTATATAATAAGGTTAGAGCCGTAACTGTCGTTGGGAGGGGGTCAGGGGCCTAAGCCCCCCCCTTCCTCCCAAAAAAAAAAATTTATTTAGCTATAATTCTTAGGGAAAAACATAAATTTTTAACAAGTATTTTATCTTCTGGGTACCTAGAAAAATGGCTACCTAAAAAAAAATAAAAAAAAAGGTCTTTAATATGTAATATGGGCCCCCTAATATAAAAATTGTGTTTACGGCTCTGTAAGGTATAAAAGTATTTAAAATAGTTTGCTACTAATCTTAATAGTTTAAATTTAACTTATTCATAATGAACTATTTTCTTTTTTTGTTTTCATTTAATTCAAAGTCCTTTCTAAGTGTTTCTAAGTGATCGGTCACCGGTTGAGTGTATACAAAGATGTATGTAAAGAAAGTGAACAGTGTGAAACTTTTATTGATAGATTTAAGTTAAAATTAGTATTACATATTTATCTATATTTCTATATTTGAATAACAACACGGTCTAATCACCTTAATATTTGGAAATGAACGCGATAAAAAGATTTATCTCTTTGACGATAAAAAGATTTGAATTTGGATTTTTTTTTCAGTTGTTGTTAGTGGTTACCATGTAAAAACATTTAATTAGGATTTACCAATGTCGCTAATCTGGCAAGAGCTAGCATTGACTCTCAGACCTTCTGTTTCAAAGCCAGAACTCTAACCACAACGCCACAGATATTTTTCAAAACGTTTTAAAATGCTTTTTACGTATTTAGAGAAAAACACAATTAAAAAAAGTTACTCGAGAAACTCTTTATAAAACATTTTCTGAAATGAATAATTTAATGATTTTTTTCAAAAATTCTTCAAAATTTTTTTATTCAAAAGCTTTTCTCGGTATTTAATTATTTTACTTTGTAATAAAAATCAAATTTGATTTATTTTACCTGAAGGCGTTTTGAAAAACGGCTGTAGTATTGTACTAAAAGGTTCTGAATTCGTACATTTCGTTCATTTCGTACATTTCGTTTATTTCGTACATTTCGTTTGTATAGTATTCGTATCATATTACTTGTATCTGAATTCTATACAGACCCGTTATTAGATTCCCTCAAAGTATGAAATTGTTAACAAGGACCTTTCAACTATTTATTTTGTACTGTTTAAAACTGTTTTAAATTTTCTTTAATCATAAAGTATTCATAACTAATTTATAAAATAATTTAATCATTATTGTTATGAACTAAATTAAAAAAAAGGAGATTGTGATCTAGATTGTGATCACAAAAACTTGTTAAAAAAGATTCAGATTCATCATCTAGGATCCATCACTAGGATGTTGAGATGATTTATATATTAATTTTTTTTCTTTAAGTTATGTTACTTTTCTATTGTTATAACAATAGAGGAGTAACATAGTTTTACTAAAAATTTAAACTTTAACGTTGAAGTTTAGGTCATCATAAAACATTTCAAAAGCTTTAAAATATTGTAATTGATCATAAAACATCTCAAAAGCTTTAAAATAGCGTAATTCACTACAAAATTACTCAATACTCTAAACATCTATAAATTCGATCAATAACTGTCATTAATTATCAGCAAATAACTAAAATACAGTTTCACATGCTTTATAATCTAACTTGGTATTTTTAAGTACTTTGTCACTCATAACTAAAATATGTATATTTTTTAAACTGAAACCTCATAATCCGATCTCCTATTACAAATGTACAAAAACAAACAAATATATTGAGTGTAACAGTGGTTCTGGAATGTAAAGGCGGGAAATTCACACATGGGGAGGAATTTAACACAGTTTATCATTTTAAAAATATACACATTTTGCTGTTGTTATGTACTTGAAATATATGCAGCAATAAAAAAAATCGCAAATGAAGTTATAGTACGCAGTTTTGCTTCATAAATTTGGTAATAAATAACTTTAATAATTTTATGATGTATTTCAGAAACCTTTTTAAACTTATTATTCTTTTTTATATAATGTATTTATTTTATTTCATTAATGTTTGTTTATAATGTTATTCTATGAAAATTGTTTTATGCTTTAACGATATATAATTAGTACTTTTTTTTATAGTAATAAAAATATTTAAAATATACTGTATAGCAATCGATTATTTATTTGATTTTTTGTTTTATTTTACAATTAGAAAGCTTTTGATATTTCTTTTTAAGTTGTATATCTATTAACATACTTGGCGTTGTTATAAAGGTTGGGAAGCATTGCTTGACGTTATCTTAATGGTATTCAATTATTGCTTTACATTGTAACTTTTTTAGTTTCCGATGCTAAAAGCTAAAAATTTAAAATAAGACATAACTTTTAATACCCACTATAATCCTAAAAGAGAATAAAAAAATTGATAGTGGAGTTTTACATAAAATTTGCCGGGTACCCGGCTCGGTTCCTGTTTTCAGGCGTTTTTCCATATACAAGCCCGTCCTCTATGTATTCTAATTACTCGTTAAAACCGGTGGAACTCGGATTTTTTTAAAAATACCGGATGCCTGGCTTGGACCGATAAAATACCGCCGGAAAACTATGATCGAGCCGGGTATCCTACACCTCTAATTTATACAAAACCCGTGATAAAAACTATTTGAAAAAATATAATCGCTCTAAGCGCTCTTTATTTAAATCTGAAGCTAAGCAAGCTGTTTGAATTCGTCGCTCAGTGGTTAAAGTGCTTGCTTTAGAAGCAAGAGATCCAGGCATCGAAACGACCTCTGGACATATCTTGCGTCATCGGTAAGGAAGGAGGCGTAAACCACCTATTTAATCGCTCTTCCGTGGAGCTCTGTGACAAGACCGTTAAGTCTTCTTGGGGTTACTTATAACGAAAAAAAATTAATGTAGAAACCGAACTACTCAACTGTTTTTAATTTTTTCTATTAACTACTTTGGGTTAACTGTTTTTAATTATTTCTATTAACAACTTGGGGTTACTTATAACGAAAAAAAATTAATGTAGAAACCGAACTACTACTGTTTTTAATTTTTTCTATTAAATTATTAATTTTTTTAAAGAAGAGGTTTAGAGATTCAAGCATCAAAAACACATTAAAAAAAACTAAAATGGTATTTCATTGTTTTTTAAACATTTAAATATATTTAAAAAGTGTAAGCTTTCAATAAAAAGTGTAAGCTTTCAAAAAGGATAAACTATCATTTAAATACTGCACTAAGTCGTTTAAAAAAATTTATTACGTTTAAATATAGTGTTTAAAAAAGAATTATTTCCTATTTTAATTCTTAAAATAAGAAATGAACTTTTCCCCCCAATTTTATTTCCATTAATTGAAAAAATCTAAAGAGTAATTAAATAACCTTTTTATAAAACTTTTTGTTTCTTACTGTGGCACACTGGAATGTATTGTTAAATTCTTATTTTATTGCTTTGTGCAAAATTCTTTATTTTATACGGATCGTTATAACATAACATGTTGTATTTTTAATATAACATTTTCTAGAATTTTTTTTGACTAGCTCTATTATTTGATGATCGAATATTTAAATCCATGTTTTTTTTACTTTTTCTTTTAACTGTAATTTTTACAATTATTGACATATTGTGCTATATATTTCACCGGATTTGATTTTATGAGATCTACAATATAGCAAAAAACAGTATGTCTACATTTATTAAGATTAGAATCGTGCTACTTAACACGTTTTTCTAGCCAATCTGTAAAACATGGAACAGATACTATACTATAAAATAGTTCAAGTAAGTCAGGGTAAAAAAGCAAGTTACATTAGATTTGACATTTTTTATTACCATAAAAAAAGTCAATTAAACTTAGTTATGGAATTAGGGTTTGTAGAGCATTCTTCCGCGTAAATTGGGTAAACTTACCTTTACTTAATTTACGCATGTTTGGGTAGGTTGGCCGTTTGTTTTCCTAATTTAATGAGGCCATGGATAAAGTCCGATACAATTTTTAACATGGTAAGTGGAACCAATGTCACCCAACATAAAAAAGAAAAAGCAAAAAACTTTTTAATCTATTTGTTTAAAACGAACATTTTCATTATCGTGTTTAACAATTTATTGGTTCCTATTAAACGAGTAAACCTTTAAATCATATTGTATAATGGCCGATTATTTTTTAATATTAGGCGTGTTTTAAATTCCAGTGTATTAATTTTAACAATTTTGCGATAAAATGCTTTTAATGCACAAAAAAAAAAATGTTGTTATACTCAAATCATGGTCTTCATATTTTAAACTCAATGACTTTATAATTTAGGACTAACCGTGGTTCTTTTTAAAAAAAAGAACAAAGAGCACTTGGTTAATCATTAAATAGGAATTGAATTTAGACATTTTTGTTTAAATTCCATTAGATGATGGAGATCGCTCTTTTTTTTAACTGACATTTAAAACGTTCAAGTGATAACTAAATTTATTATAAATGTTTTAGATAAATGTTTATGACATAAAAAAGCTAGTATGCTCATTTTTACGAACGTTAACAAATTTAAAAAATAAACATCAACTACAAAAATATCGATGATAACTACATTACCAACTTTTTTTTAATAACAATATTAATAAAAACAATATTTCTTTTAATAACAATATCAACAACAACAACAAAAATGACGGCAACAACAACAAAAATGACGGCAACAACAACAAAAATGACAGCAACAACAACAAAAACAGCAACTTAAAATTTTTTAATGTTGGTCCGAAATTTAAGATCTTTGGTAAGTAATAACTTTATCAGTATTTAAATTTTATTGTAAATTTTTTCTTTAGTTTAGCTGTTAACTTGGTGAAGCTTTTTCTATAAATGCCTTTTAGAGGTTTGTTATTAATTATACATTAATACAGTACTTAGTAATTATCAGTATTACTTCAAGAAGTGTGCTGGGTATTCAACTTAGACCTTGGAATCCGGTATTCTGGTTATTTTCTAGGTACTCGGAACCGATCATTTCTTTGCAGTACCTAGCACACTAATTGCAGAATAATAAGTGACATTTTTGATAAGTATAACCTTTTAGTATACTCTATTTATTTCTTTAGGGAATATTTTAAATTGTAATATAGAAAATTATTAATGTTAATATTTTCAGTTTCCAATTGATTACTTAATAACTTCAATTCTACTTCGTTCATACTAAAATAAAAACCATTTTTGAGAAAAAAAACGGTTTTTGGTTTAGTAATTGTTGCGTTTTTAGATTTCTGAATCATTTTTTAGTTTAGGTTATTTTATTTTGCTCTTTTTTCGTTATTTTTTAAAAATATGGTAAACTAAAAAAGTTGGTTATTTTAATGAACTAAATTTTGTTTATAAAAAAATAATAATTTGATGACGAACTATTATTTAAAAAAGCTATTAAAAGAATATTCTCATTACAAAACTAGGTTGATCAATTAAAATTTCAATTACGAGTTAATGGCAGGTGTCAGTAAAACATCAAGAGAGCAATAGATTTCCTAAAATACTTATTAATTTACATATAATTCCTTACACTGGTTGTTTTTTTATTTAGCTAGTCTATGTACTTCAAATTTTATCTTAGTATTTTGGTATGATCACAGTCAAACCTAAAATATTATCGAGTGTTTACCTAATTTAAACTTGTTTTACGTTGAATTTTACGTGTATTGTCGTAAAGGATGCCGTGTGTAAATTCTGTAAGAACTTTTTTTTGTAAAATTTATTTCTTCAGAGGAAGCACCCCGTTCTCAAGTTCGATCAAAGTCAGTGACTGATGAGGAACCGGACTTAGATGTAGAACTTTTACTGAAAAGTTTGGAAGAAGACACTTTTGATGTGTTTTCGATTCGAATTAATAATGTTATCGTTTCGAAATCAACTTTGTACGCTATTTTTGAGTCACTAAAAACAACAAAAAGTATAAAGCACTTGTGTCTTGTTGGTGTTGACATGAACGATGAAAAAGGCTTAGTAAGTAACATAAATTAACATCAAGATAACATTAATTAAGTAAAACTTAGTAAGTAACATAAACTAAGATTGATTTACTCAAAAGAAACAATTAAAGTAACATGTACTGTTATTTAAAAAAAACTTAATTTATTTCACTGTAGCGTTATTATTCAGCATTTCTTATTTAAAAATTTCTAGGTTTTAAACGAAGCATTGGCACTAAACGAAACATTAGAAACATTGAACTTAGAATCAAATAGTCTCACAAATCTTGTTATTGAGGTATTTTTTATTTTATTTTTTAGCACAAAGCAACAATATATAAATATTTGTAATCGGCAAGAGGTCTACCCGAATCAAGTGTATTTGAAACAAATATTTTCTACAATCAATTCTCCCTTGCAGTCGTCACCTAGTCTTCGTGTGTGACAGTTGTGTCAATTCTCGGGCAATATATAAAATATAAACTTAAAACCATTAGCAGTTACGTTTTTAAGTATTTCTTTCAATACACACAAGTATACTTTATATAAGTCTTTAAAGATTGAGTCTTTAATAGTTTCCATTTGCTTCTAAACATTATTGTTCATTACTCCCGTTAATTATTACTCATTCGGTAACTTGTTTAAAAGGTTTGTGGTGTAACTTTTAGCATTGTGTGCTCGCCCAATATCCAACTAGTATTTCTACCTGGCAATCATTAAATTAATTAACTATATTTACACTGAATTGTAAGCAACTTGATTATAAGCAGCCGTAGCGCAGTGGTTAGCGCGCTTGCCTAAAAAGCTAGAGAAAATAAAAACTTCAACAAATTGATGTGCAAATTGCCATGACATATGAATCTTGTACGGAAATTAAACTGTTTAACATTTTACAGTAACTTTTTCTGAATGATTATCAAACTTTGACTTGGTTAATAAACTGACTCAAATCACCAACAAAAAAAAAACAATTTTTAAAAGAGACTTTTTACATTAAAATTTGCATTTACATTTAATTCTAGATAGGGTTGCCAGATGTCCGGCATTTATAAAAGTAAGTCCGGCATTTATATACAGTAAAAAAAATTATTTTCACAGGTTTGGCACTGTATTTTCCTCCGTGAAAGCCAGGCAACTGGCAGCCCTAATTCCATATAGAGAAACTTGTTGTAGAGGCTATTTTGCTAATAACCTTTTCTTCCTCTGGTAGAATCACTCAAGGATCATTACATCAATGAAAATCAATACCTATTGGTGTTATGTTGATATATTCAAAAGAATTTAATACCGGGCGACATCTTTCAAAGAAATATACAAAACTTTTAGTAATAGATAAATTGCATTACTTAATAATCGGTTAGATAAAAATTATAAGAATTTTACTTTAGATTAAACTTTAAATGAATTAAATTATAACTTTTCTTTTTCTGATTTTTACTTGTTTTTTTTATTCTACTTTATTTTAAGACTTTTATAAATACTTTCTTAAAACTTTTTAAATAACTACACTGTTTTTTCCTTTCGTCTTCATGTGTTTATAATGGATAGATACAAGAGAACAATGTTCTGAATAAATAAAATAAATTAACATAACGTATTATCATATCTGTTATCTCAAGTTTTAAACCTAACGGCTACATAGCGGTAACATAACGAAAATTTTTGTTTTATAACGGGTAATTAGCGCTATGTTTAATGTATAATTCGTATGAAATAACGTAACGGTAATTACCGTTACGTTACTTTAAACCTATGTGGGCGTAAGAATGAGATGGATATTTAACGCGTTGTTTAAAAGCAAAAGTTTCAAGCGCAATCTATTGTTTTATAAATAACAAAACAATAGCTGCAATAATAGTCTTAAACGTCTTAAAATAAAAAGAAATTTTATTAAAATAAATAAAGACTTAATAGAACAAAATTTCTTTTTAATTGAATATATAAAATAAATTATTTAAAACATTTAGTATTGTAATGAATATATTTTACTATCGTGTTGAAAAAAAAAACATTCAACATCCCCTCAATAACTACTGTACAAAAAATGTTTGTAAATTGTAAAATCAGTAAACTTATCAAGATCTCAACTTGTAAACAAATTTAAAAAAAAAATGTAAAAAAAAAAGGAATGAGTCAGGCACCATAATACATGAAGCACTAGGGGAGAGTGGAATAGAACACCATGAAACATTTTAATTGTAAAGGAATCTTAGGAGCTGTGAAAACCACTCTCATGTGGTGAAACAGTTACTACTAAATCTTTGTTTTGAAAACAAAAGTTATATCATTTGACATCATAAAGGCGAGTTTCCTGTCATCCATTTTTTTCTATGAGAACTGGAAAGGAAAAAGTAATCACGAGAGTATGCGTAAAAGTTTTAATTTGTCTATTGGATAACCGTGCAAGCTCAAGTGAAAGAAGACCATTTTTTCGTTTCCTTTCCTGTTTCCACAGAAAAATGTTTGAATGAAAACTCACCTTTAGGCCTGTGAGGGATCGAAGTTGGTGTTTTTTTAATGAGAAAGTAATTTATTAGTTTTTAAAGTTCAAAAGTTTTAAGGTATCTTATTCAATATGTCTATCGGTAAGTAACATTATTTTGTGATCTAATATCTTTGTCAAAAACAATTCTAAAAAACATTTCTTTTAATATTTACAGTCAATTTTTAGGAGATTTATAAAAATAAAACATTAGAACATTTAATTTTGATACAAAACCATTATTTATAGACGCTTAAGAATGACATTTAAAGCGATATCATATCTGGTCTTCTGAACTATGATTTAGATTACTGAATGCATTATTGGGTTATAACTATTAATTTGTTTGTTTTTAAGTAAAAATCTTTACTCTACGTTTTATATTTGGTATTTACTTTTTTAATGATGGTCCTAATGTGTATCAAGGTACTTTGGTACCTTGATACACAACATTGTTTCAAGATACCACACCCTACATGGGTGTGGTACCTTCAAACAAATTTCTAATTTTACATTAAATAATCTCACAAGTTTAATCTGTGATATTTTGGTAATTTATTAATTTAGTTTTGAAGGTCTCCCGATACATTTGTGTTTTTAAACGTTTTAAAAATATATATAATTAATAAGTGAAAAAAAACAATCAAACAAAAAAAAAAAACAGTATAAATATACATACAAAATATCTTCTGACAATCTTCCTTTTAAGGAATAATATAAAAAATAAAATAAGAAAAAAAAGAGAAAATCATGAAATGTATCAAATTTTAATGATTGTTTTTTTCTAATTTTTTAAGCAAAGACCTATTTAATAAATGATGATAAACAATGAAAAATAATAAAATAATAAAAAATTAATTTAGTACCTAAATAATGAAAAATGTATTTATGGTTTTATAGTATAACACAAGGCCGACGGCACAGGTTTTGAGGTAAAGGGGGGCGGGGGACAATCATCAATTTGTGAAAAACGTCCTCTATATCAAGATTTTTCTTTTAAAAAAAAAAAGTCCTCTAGAAAAAAATGGGTAAGAGGGGCACGTACCCCCTGGCCCCCCGTTGTAGTTGGCCCTGTAACATAAAAATTACCAAAGAAGAACAAAAATAATTGCTGAAAAATATAATGATTAACTTGTTTTAATTAAGGTGATGTTAATTAATGACGTTTTAATTAAAATGTAGTTTTAATTAAAGGTGGTGTATACACTTTGTTTCTTTTTTCAGCCACTGTGCAAAATTTTGGAAACTCACAAAACTATTCGAGAGTTCAAATGTGCGCATCAGGTAAATTAACGTTTCTAATAATTAACTGAACATTTATTTTAGTCAGATTTGATATATATATATATATATATATATATATATATATATATATATATATATATATATATATATATATCATTATTATCTAAATAATTAAATATATAACAAAACTAAGTATAATAATGTATAATAAATATGAAATACACTAATATTTAAATATTAACTAACATGTAGAAGGCTGGGTTAGGAAGCAGAGGGGAAGAAGCAATGGCTAGAGCTTTAGATAAGAATGAAAGACTTTTAAAGATTGGATATCCTTTTAACGTTCCATCTGCAAGGAGCTTAGCTGATAAATGTCAATTGCGTAATAGTGAGCGAAGTAAGGATTTTTTTTTAATGTTGAACTTAATATATTGTTTTTTAATTTTATTTAAATAACAATTTTATACTTTTTAATGTCAATTTATAATGCGTGAATTTGTGTGTGTGTTTGTGTGTGTGTGTGTGTGTGTGTGTGTGTGTGTGTGTGTGTAAATATGAGGTTCAATTCTATATAACTAAGAGTTTAGCAATCAAGCGATATGAATTCATGGATTTTTTAAGAAAAAATTCCCAACATTTTTACGCACCTCAGTTTGTTATCAAAACATTTTGCAAATCATTAACTTATAAACAAAAGTTTATCAACACCATTAAAAATAAGAAAATAACGTTTAGTTAAAATAAAATTGAAATAAAAAGCATTTGTGGTTTTAGAAAAATCTCAATTTAAAGTTGATATACTAAATTATGCAATAAATTATGCGTCATACTAAATTATGCAATAAATATATTAAGTAATCTAACATCAATAAAGAATCTTAATCTAACTCTTAATCTAAAGGCGAGTTTCCACTCATCCGTTTTTTCACGGGAACGGGAAAGGGAATGGAAAAATAATCACGTGGGCATGCGTATTATAAGTTTTAATATGTCCGAAGTAAAACTGCGCATGCTCAAGTGATTATTTTTCCCTTTCCTATCCCGTTCCCGTAGAAAAACGGATGAGTGGAAACTCACCTTAACATCACAAAGAAACATTTTTGATAGTAAGTGAATGGCAAGTTATTGAAGTAAAAACTTTTATTATAAAAAGTTTATTAGTTTATAAAATTTATTGTTGAGATCAATGATATTAAAGCAACATATTAGTAATAAAAATAATATTTATATTAAGCAAATTAATAATATCAATATCAAAGCTTCATTTTAAAGTTTATATTTAACAAATATGAAATGAATAATTTAAAAATTAGACACTTGGGTAAATTATCTAATTTAATTTAATATTGCTAAAAACGAAATTTTTTGGTTTAATGTTTAAATGTTTTTGATGTGCCAAACATTCCACAGTAAAAACAGAGATAAACGATATTCACTGTACAAGTAGTTACTACTTCTACATTTTAACATCAAACAAAAAAATTTTATTTTTCGGCAAAATCAAATTAAATTTTATGATTATTATCACCGGAGTATCTAATTTTTAAATTATTATCTCTTACTTTTTAATTATGAGTTTTAAATTGTAGCTTTAAAATTGATATTAATAATTTATTATATAAATATTATTTATATAGCCCGGATTTTATATTTAGTATTCATTTAATCTTAGAATCAGTAATAAAAATTATTTTTTCTTCAATTAGCACGCCATATTTTTTTTAAATCAGCTTTCTGTTGAAAAAATTTCTGCATGGTGTCAAGGATTTCTATATAAAAAGCCATGGTATAAGGAGACAACTGATTAAGTGCAAATTTCATAACAACGAATCTACACAAGCCCAAACTAGCTTAAATACAAAGCAGTTGCAAAAACTGACACAATTATGAACTGGCATACGTGCGCTGAAAGTGTTATCAAATTTTAACAAATCTGCAAACTGGCATAAGTGCGAAGCAGTTGCAAAAACTAGCATAATTGTGAATCATGTGTGAACTGGCATATGTGCTCCAAAAAAAATTGAAAAACTGGCATAGGATTCGTATTTATTTACACTTGCAACAGATAGACATAAGTGCCAATTTATAGTACTTAAATGGTATAATTATAATAGCCACATGTGGCTATAGTACTCTTGCCATTAAAGTACTATAAATGTTATAACCGTGCATGGCCCTCATCTATGCATTAAATTTTCTTGTCGGGTCAACACTATTATCTTACCTTTTATCAGATGTTTGTATTGTAATTATTTTGCACGAAAATAGTTTAATTTAAAAAATACAGTTTGATTCTTGTTTAATACTTAGTTCTATGGGTCAATCTTTTTTTAGTTCGACAGCAAAGAGCGAAAGGGGAGGAATGTTATGATCTAAAAAAGGCGCTTAAGGAAAGAGACGAACATCCACAACCGTGGATTAAAAACGCTTCAGAGAATCGCGATGCCAAAATGAAATTACAGATTAATGAGCAAAAAAAGAGTATGAACAAAGTTCCCGACTTCAACAAAATGATGTTTGAGGCTAAACAAAGAGCAGTCGAGAATGCAAAACCAGTTATGGATAACGAACTCGCCCAAAAACTTGCTCAAGCCAAGAAAATGAATGGAAGAATTATTTCTCGATAAAGTTTATTTAAAAATTCACTTTTAGAATATATTTATTTAATTTTTTATTAATTATAAATAATCTTTACTCAAAGGATAAAACGGAAAAGACGCAGAAAATAAATTTCTGTTAGACGCGTTTAATTTACACTCCTTACAATTTGATTTTTTTTTTAAAACGTTTAAATTCAAGCTTGTGAATAATTAAAAAAAACATCTTTCTCAATCAAAGTAGATTTCTTCAAAGTACATTTATGAAGAAAATTATGTTTTTTTTGTTGTTGTTATTTTTAACGAAAGATTCCTATTCATATATGTATATAAGCTTTTTAATATTTTAATGTTACATGGTGGTTACTTTATATTATAATGTAAGATAACTTATTATAATAAACATATTTAAAAAACAGTTTAAATATAATTCTAAGAATTTAATAACTTTAAATTGTTTTTTTTGTTTTTTTTTGTATTGCGAAATTACAAAGAGATAAACACAGAGGCGCCTTTTTTTTCACTACTAACGTACTCATTCGTCTTTTTTACCAAAGTATAGTCGAAGTTTTTTCAAAGTAGCCAAAATATACTCAATCGCATTGAAAATATAATTGTTTAAAATATCGTTAATAATCTAATGAAAATCTCCTAAAGCTGTTTCAAACTTTGCAGTGCCTTTCGACTGACTATAAGCAATTACTGCATAATTTAAAGTAATTTTAAAATTACTTGTCTGACAGGTTTACAGACTTAAAATAAATTTAAAAACACACGCTTTCAGTTAGCTTGTTAAGCATCAGTTCGTCGTTCGCATCTAAATTATGCTGGTAGCGGAGTAATTCTTTTTCTTCATTAAAAGTAATGACCTCTGCGTAAATGAAAAAGATTGTGACTCGTTTTGCATAGAAATAATCAGTAACAGGCACAGAAATATTTGTGTTAATATAATTTACAGACCAGCTGTAAATTTAAAAAATATATAAAGCTTATATCAGCAATTTTCAAACTAAAACCAATTAAGCCAGTAAAAACTCGAAAACATGTTCACTTGGTTAATGGCTTTAACATAACAAATCATAGCTCGAAAAATGATGTTAAAAATACAATATCGATACTATTTTGCAATATAATTTTATTCCAACAATTTATAAAGCAATTAGCGACCAAAAGATCCAAAGAAAAAAGACGATTAATTACAACTGGCTACATGCTTAACTGTTTTTCGTTGGATGAACGCCGTAAAGGTTAAATAATTTAAAATGTGAGACTAACAGTTACCCAACTTAAAACTAAATTAGTGAAACATGTATGAGTGCAACGTTGAACGATGAAATGTCACTTGTGTGCCAGCCGTAAACTCTACAATTTTATATACAAAACAATGGTTTTATAGCAACTAAATTCTGCTTAAGCAGAATTTAGTTGCTATAAGCAAGTGAAAATTTTCACTTGCTCTTATCGCTCTATTTATTTATTTATGAATCTTGTAACAAAGAATGGTATAAAATATTTACAAGCTGGTAAAATAATTTTTTTTTATAACAATGCTCAATAATTACTACAATAGTTTATATTAATTTTAATTAAACTCAGCACTATCTGTTTTTAAAGATTTTTTATCAAAAAAGTAAACAAATATATTTTGCGAAACGATAATTTTTTAAATGAACCACTTTGTCGTACAAAGTTTAATCAATTTTGTATTGGATATTGTGCACCTTATCTCTGGAACAAAATTGTTTTGAATAATTTTGATTTAACAACTTCACTTGAACTTTTTAAAAATAAACTAAAAATTATTTTTTTTCTATGAACGATGTTATGAATTACTTCTAATAAGCAATAACGCACTGTATAATATTTAATTTTTGATTTATTTTTGCTGTTGTTGTTGCTTTTACGCTTTTAAAAGGTTCTGACGACAAGATCAACGAGATCTTTTATCAGAAACCTTGTTTATATTTGTAAAGCTTTTATTTATAAAGTTATTTATATAATTGTATTACGATTTATAAAACTGTAAACTGTAACACGATATAAACAAAAAAAATAAAGATTGGAGTTTAAATATTGCCTGAGAGCTACTTAACTTAAACACCAAAATATTCTGGACCGCCCCCCGAAAAGAACCATTCAAATAGAGGCTATGTAAAAAAATTAAAACAAACAATATTTGAGAGCTAATATACGAGGGCTATCCATTAATTATGTGTACACAAAAGAGGGAGGAAGTTTTAAAAATGTTTAACAAATATTGACAAGGGGAGGTCAAAGAAAAAGTAGAGAAAGGATGAGGGGGGGTAATTATGTCAAAATTATTTGACGTAATTAATGGACTCTATGTTTAAATTAAACATGACTTAAAAAAGGTTATAGTTTTATTATTTTATTACGCTGGAATTATCATTAAACTTTATATTTTGAGTGTTAAAACTTTTAGAAATAAATACGTTCAAATTTTGCGCACTTTTAGATCGTCTAAATTAGACGCTGGTCATTATAATTTTGCTTAAGTAACATTTAAGTTTTTTATTTCATTTTTATTTTAATATGTATTTGTTTATATCTCAAAACATTTTTCTCTTGTAAAAGGAAATTTGTCCTGTAGCAATGAAGATTGTTAATCCTCAGATTTATAAAGAGCAGTCATAAAATTTTCATTAAAAAATCTAATAACATTTTTAAAATAGAAAAATTATATTAAACTTACTTTTATTGCAAAAAAAAAAAAAAAAAAAAAAAAAAAAAATCCAGTAACCTGAAAACGTTAGAAAATTTAAAAACTTTAAAGCGGGTTTGTGAGCGAAAAGATCAAAACATGCTATAATGACCTTCAGGATCGTTGTAAACTTTCGTAAAAGCTCGTGAAAATTTTGAAAAAGATAATTTCAACTCAAATTCTACGTTTGCAAAAAGTCTTTTTCATTTTTTTTTTAATTTATTTTGATAATAGAATTTTATAAAATATTTTTCTGCACGGCGTAATTAATAAAAAACAAATAAACAGGTTTTTTCAACAGTTGTAAATTCACAGAAAAATAGAAAACACTGCACTGAGTAAAAATAATACAGTGTTGTTAATAGATGTCTAAACCGACATGGGTGGTAGTTGTTCATCCAGCTGCCGAGGAAACAAACAAGTCAGTTTTTTTTATCTAAATTTAATTAAAACTATTTAAAAATTTTCAGTATTTTAGTTTGTAAAGTTGACTTTTAGATTTATAAATACTTTATTAAATAATTTTGTTGTTTTATGAATTAATATTGAACGTTTTATTTTGTCAATTATCTGTTATAAAACTTTTTGTTTCGTTAAATATTTGCTAGTTTTTTGTTTTTTTTTTTCTTTTTTCGTTTTTTTAAAAAAGAAAAACATTTAAATAATAAAAAAAAAAAATTATATAGTCTTTTTATGTTTTTACTTCAAAATAGTCAGGCGGTTCGTTACCAAGTATCGTAAATAAACAGTAAGCAACTGTGATATATTTTTAAAATAAAAGTTTTTTTATTGTTGAAAAAAAAACAAAAAGTTTGCAGAAAAAAGAGCTAAAAAAACATAAAAACCAGAAATTTTTACTTTACCAAAATTAAAACAAAAAAAAAATAAATGAAAACCGTATTTTTATCTAGAGATACAAAACACCCGTGGTGACATACAAACTCTCCGAAGAAGCTATTGACAATTCAGCTGATACTGCTATTTCGATACCCCAAATATTTATACAAAACAACAGTGTCTTTAGCATAAAAGATCCTTCTAAATGTTCATGCAGTTACCATTCAAAAGTGTTTGTTGCCGATACAGACAATAAAACTAAATGCGGCTCTCATGAAAAAATTTCCGAGTCAGAAACAAAGAGTTTTTCGCAGAGTTCAAATCATTTTGATTCGTACCTATCTAACTGTATGTGTCAATACCACTCATCTTTCTCGGGTATGAGTTTTCAGAATAAAGAAGATAGGCAACACCAAAATAAAGAAGTTAAATTAAATGCTAAGGAGTCTACCCAAAACCCAGCGGTACTTACAAATAGCGCAGAAATTTTTTATGACGCAGTAGGGATTAGTTAATTAAAGACATATATATATATATATATATTTGAAAAACTATTTAAATTGAAACTATTTAAACTCCTTAAAGTTTGGCCCCTTCATTAGTTTTCTCGTTTTGTTCGTAGAAAAATAATTATAAAATTAAATTATTTAATAAAATTTTCAGTTCACGATTTTTATTTCGTTGTGATATATATTTATTATATATTTATAGAAAAGATTTTCTATTTTGGATTTCTTTTTGAGCTTCTCGTCATACTACCCGACGGGCATTTGTTTTTAAAAGTTACGTTCTAAATGTATTTTAAACGTCTTTTAAACGTCTTTTAAACATTAATGTTTAAAAGACGTTTAAAAGATATTTAAAATACATTTAGATCGTAACTTTTAAAAACAAATGCCCGTCGGGTATTCTAATTGTAACTGAAATCTATTATTGTTATTGTTGTTGTTATTACACTATACGATACTATATATTATAATTATAATATATATATATATATATATATAT